TAGTAATAATATAAACACCACTTATACAGTAAATTAAAAATGACGCACTATTAAGCCTAAAAATTCTATTTTAAAGCATTTAAAAGTGCTGATTCACAATGGTAAATTAGCTTGCACTTAACTTGTCACTACTAATAAAACCTTTTTTAATTGACGCTTTAAAATGATTCAAAAGTATTTAAAAAAGCTGATTTAATATAGTAACGCCCGAATAACCTGCATTCATTACTTAAAATGGCGTAAAAAAAATTAAAACGCTGATTAAAGATAAACTTGCACTTGAACCACTTGAAACACAAATAAAAAAGTCATTTAAAAATATTAACAAACTATACAAAAAAAAATGTGAATCAACATTTAAAAATGCTGATTCACATTGATAGAAAGACGCTATTAAAAATGACGCAAAAAATATTTTAAACCTGAAAATGGTTCAACTTCATAAACACTAATAATGAAGCAATTTAAAAGTGCCGATTTGTAATGCGAACAACTAAATAAACTTGCACTTTTAAATCGTTACTTATTTAAAAAAAATCCCATAAAAATGAATTAAAATGCCATACAATAAATGCTTATTTAAAATGCTGATTCGCAATGGTAAACCTGTTAAAAAAATTGTAGTAGTAATTTAAACACCACATAAAGTAAATTAAACATGACGCACAATTAAGCCTAAAAATGCTATTTTAAAGCATTTAAAAATGCTGATTCACAATGGTAAATTAGCTTGCACTTAACTTGCCACTACTAATAAAACCGATTTTAATTGACGCTTTAAAATTGCTGATTTAATATAGTAACGCCCGAATAACCTGCATTCATTACTTAAAATGGCGTAAAAAAAGATTAAAACGCTGATTAAAGATAAACTTGCACTCGAACCTACAAATAAACTACCACCTGAACTTTTAATCATTACTTTTTAATGACGCTATTAAAACTAACGCAAAAAATTTAAACCTGAAAAATTTTCAGTGAAAATGGTTAACCTCCTAAACACTAATAATGAAGCCATTTAACACATAAATAAACTTGCACTTTTAAAAACGTTACTTTAAAAAAAAAATCCAATAAAAATGGATTAGAATGCCATACAATAAATGATTATTTAAAAATGCTGATTCACAATGGTACACCTGTTTAAAAAATGGTAAAAGTAATGTCTAACAAATTTTAAACCACAACTTCGATTTGTAATTTATTAAAACCATGAGATGATTTCAAATATGCGTTCCCCTAAGAAGAAATAACTGTTAACTTACAAATGGAGTGAGACTTAATTAGATGCCAACATTTTTGATACGAAAGGTTTTACCTGGATAAAATGGGATTGCCAGACACAAGAAAACAATACAGAATCTTACTATAAAATTATTTATTATATATACCTAACTGGACACATAGGATGCTTTACTTACAATTCACAACAATAGGCATTACGTGTTCAATATTTTTTAATGTCTATGATATAAACAAAGCAAATTAAGTTCACTGGACCAACTAATATGGAATTGGACTCATAGCACAAGATTTTCAAACCGTAGCAAAAATTTCTGTCTGTTTGTTGTAAATGTGGCTGTGAAGTCACATTACACACAAGAGAACGTTTTTATGTTTTGTGGTACTTTATTTTTTAATTTCTTGTTCCTTATGTTTGCTATAGATGTGTTTTTGCAGAATTGTATTGTCTACTGTGACGAAGTCACAGAAAGAACAAGAGTGAGTTTTTATGTTTAATTTTACTTTCTTTTCCAATTCATTTTGTTTCTTATGTTTTACAAAAACGTGTCTTTGTATTAAACGATTATTAGATGCCGTATGGTTACAGTACACACAAGAGTAAGTTTTTGCATTTATCGCTACTACATTTTTTAACTTATGTTGTTCCTTATGTTTGGTATAGATGTGTCTTTGCAGCGTTTGCGTTTGCACTGCCGCAAAGTTACAAAAACCACACGAGTAAGTTTTTATGTTTAATTTTACTTTATTTTCCAATTCGTTTTGTTCTTTATGTTTGTTGTAAATATGGTATTGAAGACTTTGGTGTATTACTGTATTAAAATCACAGTATACACAGGAGTACGTTTTTATTTTTAGTGCTACTTTATTTTTTATTTCATGTTGTTCCTTATGTTTGCTATATATGTGTTTTTGCAGCTTTTGATTTTCCACCGTTCTAAAGTCACAGACATCACAAGAGTAAGTTTTTATGTTTAATTCTACTTTTTTTTCTAATTCATTTTGTTCTTTATGTCTGTTAAAGACGTGGATTTGCAAATTCTTTTTTGTAATTGTACTGAACTCACAGTACACACAAAAATAAGTTTTTATGTTTAATTCTACTTTATTTTCCAATTCATTTTGTTCTTTATGCTTGCTAAAAATGTGAATGTGAAGCCTTTGTTTTTCTTTTGTTGTAAAGTCACAGTATGCACAGGAGTGAGTTTTAGGTGCTACTTTGTGTTTTATTTTATGCTGTTCCATATGTTTACTATGGACGTGTTTTTGCAGCCTTAGGTTTTCCACTGATGTAAAGTCACAGAAAACACAAGAGTAAGTTTTTATGTATAATTCCACTTTTTTTTCTAATTCATTTTGTTCTTTATGTTTGTTATGGACGTGGATTTGTAAATTACTTTTTGTAACTGTACCAAAGTCACAGTACACACAAGTTTTTATGTTTAATTCTACTTTATTTTCCAACTCATTTTGTTCTTTATGCTTCCTGTAAACGTGGTTTTGAAGCTTTTGGTTTCCTATTGTTGTAAAGTCGCAGTATACACAGGAATAAGTTTTTATGTTTAGGGCTATTTTATTTTCCAACTCATGTTGTTCTTTGTGATTGTGACAAATGTGCCGCCGTAACGATTGCCAATAAGTTGTTGAATAGGCACAGTACATGCAAGGAAATCTTTTAATGTTTGTTTTATCTTTTTTAGTTGGTATTGGTTCTTCATCTTTGATCACTTCGTTCTTTAACGATGTATGGCGGTGGTCTTTGATCATATGCTGGGTTACTTCGTATTCTGGCCCGGTAAAAAAGCAGTCGATGTATCCGCATGTCGATTCACTGTAACAAAAAAAGTTTAAATGTTTGCATTTAATTTTTTTTGTAAAAAAATATAAACAACTAAACACATAGTCAATAAAAATTATAACAAACTATACAAAAAATGACGCGCTAAAATAATATTTTGATAACACACAAATAAACTACCACCTGCACTATTAAACATTACTTATTACAAAAACGCTTTTAAAAATGACGAACAAAATTTTAAACCTGAAAATGGTTAAACTTCATAAAAACTAATTATGAAGCAATTTAAATGTGCCGATTTGTAATGCGAACAACTAAATAAACTTACACTTTTAAATCGTTACTTATTAAAAAAAAATCCAATAAAAATGTATTAAAATGCCATACAATACGTGCTTATTTAAAAATGCTGATTCGCAATGGTAAACCTGTTAAAAAAATTGTAGTAATAATTTATAAAGTAAATTAAAATGACGCATAATTAAGTCTAAAAATTCCATTTTAAATCATTTAAAAATGCTGATTCACAATGGTAAATTAGCTTGCACTTAAATTGTCACTACTAAAAAAACCGTTTTTAACTGACGCTTTAAAATGATTCAAAAGTATTTAAAAATGCTGATTTAATATAGTAACGCCCGAATAACCTACATTCATTACTTAAAATGGCGTAAAAAAAGATTAAAACGCTGATTAAAGATAAACTTGCACTTGAACCACTTGAAACACTAATAAAAAAATCATTTAAAAATATTAACAAACTATACAAAAAAATATGAATCACCATTTAAAAATGCTGATTCACGTTGATAACACACAAATAAACTACCACCTGCACTATTAATCATTACTTATTAGAAAGACGCTATTAAAAATGACGCAAAAATTTTTTTAAACCTGAAAATGGTTAAACTTCCTAAACACTAATAATTATTATAATGAAGCAATTTAAAAGTGCCGATTTGTAATGCGAACAACTAAATAAACTTACACTTTTAAATCGTTACTTATTAAAAAAAAATCTAATAAAAATGTATTAAAATGCCATACAATACATGCTTATTTAAAAATGCTGATTCGCAATGGTAAACCTGTTACAAAAATTGCAGTAATAATTTATAAACTAAATTAAAAATGACGCACAATTTAGCCTAAAAATTCTATTTTAAATCATTTAAAAATGCTGATTCACAATGGTAAATTAGCTTGCACTTAACTTGTCACTACTAATAAAACCGTTTTTAATTGACGCTTTAAAATGATTCAAAAGTATTTAAAAATGCTTAATTTAATATTATTCATTACCTACTTATAATGGCGTAAAAAAAAAGATTAAAAGGCTGATTAAAGATAAACTTGGACTTGAACCACTTGAAACACTAACAAAAAAGTCAGAGACTTAATTAGATGCCAACATTTTTGATACGAAAGGTTTTACCAGGATAAAATGGGATTGCCAGACACGAGAAAAGTTTTATTTTCTAATTGAAACGCAATTAACAATACAGAATCTAACTATAACATTATTTATTAAATAAATCTGGACACTGACTGTGCAGCTCACACATAGGATGCTTTACAATGAACAACAATGGGCATCACGTGTACATTATTTTTAAATGTCTATGATATAAACAATCCGACTCATAGCACAAGAACACATAACACATTAAATGTGGCTGTAAAGTCACAGTACACACAAGAGTACGTTTTTATGTTTAGTGTACTTGTTCCTTATGTTTGCTATAGATGTGTTTTTGCAGAATTGTTTTGCACACCGTGACAAAGTCACAGAAAGTACAAGAGTGGGTTTTTATGTTTAATTTTACTTTCTTTTCCAAGTCATTTTGTTTCTTATGTTTTACAAAAACGTGTCTTTGTATTGAACGACCATTAGATGCCGTATAGTTACAGTACACACAAGAGTAAGTTTTTGCATTTATCGCTACTTCATTTTTTAACTTATGTTGTTCCTTATGTTTGGTATAGTGTCTTTGCAGCTTTTGCGTTTGCACTGCAATAAAGTTACAAAAACCACATGAGTAAGTTTTTATGGTTAATTTTACTTTATTTTCCAATTCGTTTTGTTCTTTATGTTTGTTGAAAATGTGGAATTGAAGACTACGGTGTATTACTGTATTATAATCACAGTATACACAGGAGTAAGTTTTTATGTTTAGTGCTTGATTTTTTATTTCATGTTGTTCCTTATGTTTGTTATATATGTGTATTTGCAGCTTTTGATTTTCCACCGATCTAAAGTCACAGACATCACAAGAGTAAGTTTTAATGTTTAATTTAACTTTATTTTCTAATTCATTTTGTTCTTTGTGTTTGTTAAAGACGTGGATTTGTAAAAGTCTTTTTTTAACTGCGACAAAGTCACAGTACACACAAGTTTTTATGTTTAATTCTACTTTATTTTCCAACTCATTTTGTTCTTTATGCTTCCTGTAAACGTGGTTTTGAAGCCTTTTGTTTTCTATTGTTGTAAAGTCGCAGTATACACAGGAGTAAGTTTTTATGTTTAGGGCTATTTTATTTTCTAACTCATGTTGTTCTTTGTGATTGTGACAAATGTGCAGTCGTAACGATTGCGAATAAGTTGTTGAATACGCACAGTACATGCAAGGAAATCTTTTAATGTTTGTTTTATCTTTTTTAGTTGGTATTGGTTCATCATCTTTGATCACTTCTTCGTTCTTTAACGATGTATGGCCGTGGTCTTTGATCATATGCTGGGTTACTTCGTATTCTGGCCCGGTAAAAAAGCAGTCGATGTATCCGCATGTCGATTCACTGTAACAAAAAAAGTTTAAATGTTTGCATTTAATTTTTTTTGTATAAAAATATAAACAACCAAACACATAGTCAATAAAAATTATAACAAACTATACAAAAAATGACGCGCTAAAATAATATTTTGAAGCATTCAATAATGCTGATTCACAATAGTAAACCTGTTAAAAAAAAATTGTAGTAATAATTTAAACACCACTTATAAAGTAAATTAAAAATGACGCACAATTAAGCCCAAAATTGCTATTTTAAAGCATTTAAAAATGCTGATTCACAATGGTAAATTAGCTTGCACTTAACTTGTCACTACTAATAAAACCGTTTTTAACCGACGCTTTAAAATGATTCAAAATATAGTAACGCCAGAATAACCTGCATTCATTACTTAAAATGGCGTAAAAAAAATTAAAAAGCTGATTAAAGATAAACTTGCACTTGAACCACTTGAAACATAAATAAAAAAGGCATTTAAAGATATTAACAAACTATACAAAAAAATGTGAATCACCATTTAAAAATGCTGATTCACATTGATAACACACAAATAAACTACCACCTGCACTATTAATCATTACTTATTAGAAAGACGCTATTAAAAATGACGCAAAAAAATTTTTAAACCTGAAAATGGTTAAACTTTCTAAACACTAATAATGAAGCAATTTAAAAGTGCCGATTTGTAATGCGAACAACTAAATAAACTTAAACTTTTAAATCGTTACTTATTAAAAAAAATCCAATAAAAATGTATTAAGAGGCCATACAATACATGCTTATTTAAAAATGCTGATTCGCAATGGTAAACCTGTTAAAAAAATTGTAGTAATAATTTATAAAGTAAATTAAAAATGACGCACAATTAAGCCTAAAAATTCTATTTTAAAGCATTTAAAAATGCTGATTCACAATGGTAAATTAGCTTGCGCTTAACTTGTCACTACTAATAAAACGCTTTAAAATGATTCAAAAGTATTTAAAAATGCTGATTTAATATAGTAACGCCTGAATAACCTGCATTCATTACTTAAAATGGCATAAAAAAAGATTAAAACGCTGATTAAAGATAAACTTGCACTTAAACCACTTGAAACACTAATAAAAAAGTCAGAGACTTAATTAGATGCCAACATTTTTGATACGAAAGGTTTTACCGGGATAAAATGGGATTGCCAGACACGAGAAAAGTTTTATTTTCTAACTGAAACGCAATAAACAATACAGAATCTAACTATAACATTATTTATTAAATAAATCTGGACACTGACTGTGTAGCTCACACATAGGATGCTTTACAATGAACAACAATGTGCATTACGTGTACATTATTTTTAAATGTCTATGATATAAACAATCCGACTCATAGCACAAGAACACATAACAAATTAAATGTGGCTGTAAAGTCACAGTACACACAAGAGTACGTTTTTATGTTTAGTGTACTTGTTGTTCCTTATGTTTGCTATAGATGTGTTTTTGCAGAATTTTATTTTCTACTGTGATAAAGTCACAGAAAGTACAAGAGTGGGTTTTTATGTTTAATTTTACTTTCTTTTCCAAGTCATTTTGTTTTTTATGTTTTCCAAAAACGTGTCTTTGTATTGAACGACCATTAGATGCCGTATAGTTACAGTACACACAAGAGTAAGTTTTTGCATTTATCGCTACTTCATTTTTTAACTTATGTTGTTCCTTATGTTTGGTATAGATGTGTCTTTGCAGCTTTTGCGTTTGCACTGCAATAAAGTTACAAAAACCACATGAGTAAGTTTTTATGTTTAATTTTACTTTATTTTCCAATTCGTTTTGTTCTTTATGTTTGTTGAAAATGTGGAATTGAAGACTTCGGTGTATTACTGTATTATAATCACAGTATACACAGGAGTAAGTTTTTATGTTTAGTGCTTGATTTTTTATTTCATGTTGTTCCTTATGTTTGTTATATATGTGTATTTGCAGCTTTTGATTTTCCACCGATCTAAAGTCACAGACATCACAAGAGTAAGTTTTAATTTTTAATTCAACTTTATTTTCTAATTTATTTTGTTCTTTGTGTTTGTTAAAGACGTGGATTTGTAAAAGACTTTTTTTAACTGCGACAAAGTCACAGTACACACAAGTTTTTATGTTTAATTCTACTTTATTTTCCAACTCATTTTGTTCTTTATGCTTCCTGTAAACGTGGTTTTGAAGCCTTTGGTTTTCTATTGTTGTAAAGTCGCAGTATACACAGGAGTAAGTTTTTATGTTTAGGGCTATTTTATTTTCTAACTCATGTTGTTCTTTGTGATTGTGACAAATGTGCAGTCGTAACGATTGCCAATAAGTTGTTGAATACGCACAGTACATGCAAGGAAATCTTTTAATGTTTGTTTTATCTTTTTTAGTTGGTATTGGTTCTTTATCTTTGATCACTTCGTTCTTTAACGATGTATGGCCGTGGTCTTTGATCATATGCTGGGTTACTTCGTATTCTGGCCCGGTAAAAAAGCAGTCGATGTATCTGCATGTCGATTCACTGTAACAAAAAAAATTTAAATGTTTGCATTTAATTTTTTTGTATAAAAATATAAACAACTAAACCCATAGTCAATAAAAATTATAACAAACTATACAAAAAATGACGCGCTAAAATAATATTTTGAAGCATTCAATAATGCTGATTCACATTGAAAACACACAAATAAACTACCACCTGCACTATTAATCATTACTTATTAGAAAGACGCTATTAAAAATGACGCAATAAAATTTTAAACCTGAAAATGGTTAAACTTCATTAACACTAATAATGAAGCAATTTAAAAGTTCCGATTTGTAATGCAAACAACTAAATAAACTTGCACTTTAAAATCGTTACATATTAAAAAAAATCCAGTAAAAATGGATTAAAATGCCATACAATACATGCTTATTTAAAAATGCTGATTCACAATGGTAAACCTGTTAAAAAAAATTGTAGTAATAATTTAAACACCAATTATAAAGTAAATTAAAAATGACGCACAATTAAGCCCAAAATTGCTATTTTAAAGCATTTAAAAATGCTGATTCACAATGGTAAATTAGCTTGCACTTAACTTGTCACTACTAATAAAACCGCTTTTAACTGACGCTTTAAAATGATATAAAATATAGTAACGCCAGAATAACCTGCATTCATTACTTAAAATGGTGTAAAAAAATTAAAAAGCTGATTAAAGATAAACTTGCACTTGAACCACTTGAAACACAAATAAAAAAGGCATTTAAAGATATTAACAAACTATACAAAAAAAATGTGAATCACCATTTAAAAATGCTGATTCACATTGATAACACACAAATAAACTACCACCTGCACTATTAATCATTACTCATTAGAAAGACGCTATTAAAAATGACGCAAAAAATTGTTTAAACCTGAAAATGGTTAAACTTCCTAAACACTAATAATGAAGCAATTTAAAAGTGCCGATTTGTAATGCGAACAACTAAATAAACTTAAACTTTTAAATCGTTACTTATTAAAAAAAGTCCAATAAAAATGTATTAAGAGGCCATACAATACATGCTTATTTAAAAATGCTGATTCGCAATAGTAAACCTGTTAAAAAAATTGTAGTAATAATTTATAAAGTAAATTAAAAATGATGCACAATTAAGCCTAAAAATTCTATTTTAAATCATTTAAAAATGCTGATTCACAATGGTAAATTAGCTTGCGCTTAACTTGTCACTACTAATAAAACGCTTTAAAATGATTCAAAAGTATTTAAAAATGCTGATTTAATATAGTAACGCCTGAATCACCTGCATTCATTACTTAAAATGGCATAAAAAAGATTAAAACGCTGATTAAAGATAAACTTGCACTTAAACCACTTGAAACACTAATAAAAAAGTCAGAGACTTAATTAGATGCCAACATTTTTGATACGAAAGGTTTTACCAGGATAAAATGGGATTGCCAGACACGAGAAAAGTTTTATTTTCTAACTGAAACGCAATTAACAATACAGAATCTAACTATAACATTATTTATTAAATAAATCTGGACACTGACTGTGCAGCTCACACAGGATGCTTTACTTATAATGCACAACAATGGGCATTACGTGTACATTATTTTTAAATGTCTATGATATAAACAATCGCACTCATAGCACAAGAACACATAACACATTAAATGTGGCTGTAAAGTCACAGTACACACAAGAGTACGTTTTTATGTTTAGTGTACTTGTTGTTCCTTATGTTTGCTATAGATGTGTTTTTGCAGAATTTTATTTTCTACTGTAATAAAGTCACAGAAAGTACAAGAGTGGGTTTTTATGTTTAATTTTACTTTCTTTTCCAAGTCATTTTGTTTTTTATGTTTTCCAAAAACGTGTCTTTGTATTGAACGACCATTAGATGCCGTATAGTTACAGTACACACAAGAGTAAGTTTTTGCATTTATCGCTACTTCATTTTTTAACTTATGTTGTTCCTTATGTTTGGTATAGATGTGTCTTTGCAGCTTTTGCGTTTGCACTGCAATAAAGTTACAAAAACCACACGAGTAAGTTTTTATGTTTAATTTTACTTTATTTTCCAATTCGTTTTGTTCTTTATGTTTGTTGAAAATGTGGTACTGAAGACTTTGGTGAATTACTGTATTAAAATCACAGTATACACAGGAGTAAGTTTTTATGTTTAGTGCTTTATTTTTTATTTCATGTTGTTCCTTATGTTTGTTATAAATGTGTATTTGCAGCTTTTGATTTTCCACCGATGTAAAGTCACAGACAACACAAGAGTAAGTTTTAATGTTTAATTCAACTTTATTTTCTAATTCATTTTGTTCTTTGTGTTTGTTAAAGACGTGGATTTGTAAATTCTTTTTTATAATTGTACTGAAGTCACAGTACACACAAAAATGAGTTTTTATGTTTAATTCTACTTTATTTTCCAACTCATTTTGTTCTTTATGTTTGCTGAAAATGTGGTTTTGGAGCCTTTGTTTTTGTTTTGTGGTAAAGTCACAGTATGCACAGCAGTGCACATGTGCCACTTTGTTTTTTATTTTATGCTGTTCCATATGTTTACTATAGACGTGTTTTTGCAGCCTTAGGTTTTCCACTGATGTAAAGTCACAGAAAACACAAGAGTAAGTTTTTATGTATAATTCCACTTTTTTTTCTAATTCATTTTGTTCTTTATGTTTGTTATGGACGTGGATTTGTAAATTACTTTTTGTAACTGTGCCAAAGTCACAGTACACACAAGTTTTTATGTTTAATTCAACTTTATTTTCCAACTCATTTTGTTCTTTATGCTTCCTGTAAACGTGGTTTTGAAGCTTTTGGTTTTCTATTGTTGTATAGTCGCAGTATACGCAGGAGTAAGTTTTTATGTTTAGGGCTATTTTATTTTCTAACTCATGTTGTTCTTTGTGATTGTGACAAATGTGCCGTCGTAACGATTGCCAATAAGTTGTTGAATAGGCACAGTACATGCAAGGAAATCTTTTAATGTTTGTTTTATCTTTTTTAGTTGGTATTGGTTCTTTATCTTTGATCACTTCGTTCTTTAACGATGTATGGCCGTGGTCTTTGATCATATGCTGGGTTACTTCGTATTCTGGCCCGGTAAAAAAGCAGTCGATGTATCCGCATGTCGATTCACTGTAACAAAAAAAGTTTAAATGTTTGCATTTAATTTTTTTTGTATAAAAATATAAACAACCAAACACATAGTCAATAAAAATTATAACAAACTATACAAAAAATGACGCGCTAAAATAATATTTTTAAGCATTCAATAATGCTGATTCACATTGATAACACACAAATAAACTACCACCTGCACTATTAATCATTACTTATTAGAAAGACGCTATTAAAACTGACGCAAACATTTTTTTAAACCTGAAAAGGTTAAACTTCCTAAACACTAATAATGAAGCAATTTAAAAGTGCCGATTTGTAATGCGAACAACTAAATAAACTTGCACTTTTAAATCGTTACATATTAAAAAAAAATCCAATAAAAATGAATTAAAATGCCATACAATAAATGCCTGTTTAAAATGCTGATTCGCAATGGTAAACCTGTTAAAAAAATTGTAGTAGTAATTTAAACACCACTTATAAAATAAATTAAAAATGACGCACAATTAAGCCTCAAAATGCTATTTTAAAGCATTTAAAATGCTGATTCACAATGGTAAATTAGCTTGCACTTAACTTGCCACTACTAATAAAACCGTTTTTAATTGACGCTTTAAAATGATTCAAAAGTATTTAAAAACACTGATTTAATATAGTAAAGCCCGAATATCCTGCATTCATTACTTAAAATGGCGTAAAAAAAAAGATGAAAACGCTGATTAAAGATAAACTTGCACCTGAACCACTTGAAACACTAATAAAAGTCATTTAAAAATAATAAAAAACTATACAATTACTTATTAGACGCTATTAAAACTGACGCAAAAAAAAATTTAAACCTGAAAATGGTTATCCTCCTAAAGACCAACAATGAAGCCATTTAAAAGTGCCGATTTGCAATGCGAACAACTAAATAAACTTGCACTTTTAAAAACGTTACTTATTAAAAAAAATTCAGTAAAAATGGATTAAAATGAAATACAATACATGCTTAATTAAAAATGCTGATTCACAATGGTAAACCTGTTAAAAAAATTGTAGTAATAATTTAAACACCACTTATAAAGTAAATTAAAAATGACGCACAATTAAGCCCAAAATTGCTATTTTAATTCACAATGATAAATTAGCTTGCACTTAACTTGTCACTACTAATAAAACCGTTTTAATTGACGCTTTAAAATGATTCAAAAGTATTTAAAAATGCTGATTTAATATAGTAACGCCCGAATAAACTGCATTCATTACTTAAAATGGCGTAAAAAAAATTAAAACGCTGATTAAAGATAAACTTGCACTTGAACCACTTGAAACACAAATAAAAAAGTCATTTAAAAATATTAACAAACTATACAAAAAAAATGTGAATCGCCATTTAAAAATTCTGATTCACATTGATAACATACAAAAAACAACCACCTGCACTATTAATCATTACTTATTAGAAAGACGCTATTAAAAATGACGCAAACATTTTTTTAAACCTGAAAATGGTTAAACTTCCTAAACACTAATAATGAAGCAATTTAAAAGTGCCGATTTGTAATGCGAACAACTAAATAAACTTACACTTTTAAATCGTTTCTTATTAAAAAAAAATCCAATAAAAATTTATTAAAAGGCCATACAATACATGCTTATTTAAAAATGCAGATTCGCAATGGTAAACCTGTTAAAAAAATTGTAGTAATAATTTATAAAGTAAATTAAAAATGATGCACAATTAAGCCTAAAAATTCTATTTTAAAGCATTTAAAAGTGCTGATTCACAATGGTAAATTAGTTTGCACTTAACTTGTCACTACTAATAAAACCGTTTTTAATTGACGCTTTAAAATGATTCAAAAGTATTTAAAAATGCTGATTTAATATAGTAAGCCCGAATAACCTGCATTCATTACTTAAAGTGGCGTAATAAAAATTAAAACGTTTATCAATGACAAACTTGCACTTGAACCACTTGAAACACAAATAAAAAAGTCATTTAAAAATATTAACAAACTATACAAAAAAAATGTGAATCACCATTTAAAAATGCTGATTCACATTGATAACACACAAATAAACTACCACCTGCACTATTAATCATTACTTAATAGAAAGACGCTATTAAAAATGACGCAAATAATTTTTTAAACCTGAAAATGGTTCAACTTCATAAACACTAATAATGAAGCAATTTAAAAGTGCCGATTTGTAATGCGAACAACTAAATATACTTACACTTTTAAATCGTTACTTATTAAAAAAAAAATCCCATATAAATGAATTAAAATGCCATACAATAAATGCTTATTTAAAATGCTGATTCGCAATGGTAAACCTGTTAAAAAAATTGTAGTAGTAATTTAAACACCACATAAAGTAAATTAAAAATGACGCACAATTAAGCCTAAAAATGCTATTTTAAAGCATTTAAAAATGCTGATTCACAATGGTAAATTAGCTTGCACTTAACTTGCCACTACTAATAAAACCGTTTTTAATTGACGCTTTAAAATGATTCAAAAGTATTTAAAAATGCTGATTTAATATAGTAAAGCCCGAATAACCTGCATTCATTACTTAAAATGGCGTAAAAAAAAGATAAAAACGCTGATTAAAGATAAACTTGCACCTGAACCACTTGAAACACTAATAAAAGTGATTTAAAAATAATAAAAAACTATTCAATTACTTATTAGACGCTATTAAAACTGACGCAAAAAAATTTAAATCTGAAAATGGTTATCCTCCTAAAGTCCAACAATAAAGCCATTTAAAAGTGCCGATTTTCAATGCGAACAACTAAATAAACTTGCACTTTTAAAAACGTTACTTATAAAAAAAATCCAGTAAAAATGGATTAAAATGAAATACAATACATGCTTAATTAAAACTGCTGATTCACAAAGGTAAACCTGTTAAAAAAATTGTAGTAATAATTTAAACACCACTTATAAAGTAAATTAAAAATGACGCACAATTAAGCCTAAAAATGCTATTTAAAAATGCTGATTCACAATGGTAAATTAGCTTGCACTTAACTTGTCACTACTAATAAAACCGTTTTTAATTGACGCTTTAAAATTGCTGATTTAATATAGTAACGCCCGAATAACCTGCATTCATTACTTAAAATGGCGTAAAAAAAGATTAAAACGCTGATTAACGATAAACTTGCACTCGAACCTATTGATAACACACAAATAAACTACCACCTGAACTTTTAATCATTACTTTTTAATGACGCTATTAAAAATAACGCAAAAAATTTAAACCTGAAAAATTTTCAGTTAAAATGGTTAACCTCCTAAACACTAATAATGAAGCCATTTAACACATAAATAAATCTGCACTTTTAAAAACCTTACTTCCAATAAAAATGGTTTAGAATGCCATACAATAAATGGTTATTTAAAAATTCTGATTCACAATGGTAAACCTGTTTAAAAAATGGCAAAAGTAATGTCTAACAAATTTTAAACCACAACTTCGATTTGTAATTTATTAAAACCATGAGATGATTTTAAATATGCGTTCCCCTAAGAAGAAATAACTGTTAACTTACAAATGGAGTGAGACTTAATTAGATGCCAACATTTTTAATACGAAAGGTTTTACCTGGATAAAATGGGATTGCCAGACACAAAAAAACAATACAGAATCTTACTATAACATTATTTATTATATACCTAACTGGACACATAGGATGCTTTACTTACAATTCACAACAATAGGCATTACGTATTCAATATTTTTTATTGTCTATGATATAAACAAAGCAAATTAAGTTCACTGGACCAACTAATATGGAATTGGACTCATAGCACAAGATTTTCAAACCGTAGCAAAAATATCTGTCTGTTTGTTGTAAATGTGGCTGTGAAGTCACAGTACACACAAGAGTACGTTTTTATGTTTATTGTTACTTTATTTTTTAATTTGATGTTCCTTATGTTTGCTATACATGTGTTTTTGCAGAATTGTTTTGCACACCGTAACAAAGTCACAGAAAGTACAAGAGTGGGTTTTTATGTTTAATTTTACTTTCTTTTCCAAGTCATTTTGTTTCTTATGTTTTACAAAAACGTGTCTTTGTATTGAACGACCATTAGATGCCGTATAGTTACAGTACACACAAGAGTAAGTTTTTGCATTTATCGCTACTTCATTTTTTAACTTATGTTGTTCCTTATGTTTGGAATAGATGTGTCTTTGCAGCTTTTGCGTTCGCACTGTCGCAAAGTTGCAAAAACCGCACGAGTAAGTTTTAATGTTTAATTTTACTTTATTTTCCAATTCGTTTTGTTCTTTATGTTTGTAGAAAATGTGGTACTGAAGACTTTGGTGTATTACTGTATTATAATCACAGTATACACAGGAATAAGTTTTTATGTTTAGTGCTTTATTTTTTACTTCATGTTGTTCCTTATGTATGTTATATATGTGTATTTGCAGCTTATGATTTTCCACCGTTCTAAAGTCACAGACATCACAAGAGTAAGTTTTAATGTTAAATTCAACTTTATTTTCTAATTCATTTTGTTCTTTGTGTTTGTTAAAGACGTGGATTTGTAAATTCTTTTTTATAATTGTACTGAAGTCACAGTACACACAAGTTTTTATGTTTAATTCTACTTTATTTTCCAACTCATTTTGTTCTTTATGTTTTCTGAAAATGTGGTTTTGAAGCCTTTGTTTTTGTTGTGTGGTAAAGTCACAGTATGCACAGTACATGGAAGGAAATATTCTAATCTTTGTTTTATCTTTTTTAGTTGGTATTGGTTCTTTATCTTTGATCACTTCGTTCTTTAACGATGTATGGCCGTGGTCTTTGATCTTATGCTGGGTTACTTCGTATTCTGGCCCGGTAAAAAAGCAGTCGATGTATCCGCATGTCGATTCACTGTAACAAAAAAAGTTTAAATGTTTTCATTTAATTTTTTTTTGTATAAAAATATAAAAATATAAACAACTAAATAACTAATAAATAAAAATTATAACAAACTATACAAAAAATGTCGCGCTAAAATAATATTTTGAAGCATTCAATAATGCTGATTCACATTGATAACACACAAATAAACTACCACCTGCACTATTAATCATTACTTATTAGAAAGACGCTATTAAAAATGACGCAAACATTTTTTTAAACCTGAAAATGGTTAAACTTCCTAAACACTAATAATGAAGCAATTTAAAAGTGCCGATTTGTAATGCGAACAACTAAATAAACTTACACTTTTAAATCGTTTCTTATTAAAAAAAATCCAATAAAAATGTATTAAAATGCCATACAATACATGCTTATTTAAAAATGCTGATTCGCAATGGTAAAACTGTTAAAAAAATTGTAGTAATAATTTATAAAGTAAATTAAAAATGACGCACAATTAAGCCTAAAAATTCTATTTTAAAACATTTAAAAATGCTGATTTACAATGGTAAATTAGCTTGCACTTAACTTGTCACTACTAATAAAATCGTTTTTAATTGACGCTTTAAAATGATTCAAAAGTATTTAAAAATGCTGATTTAATATAGTAACGCCCGAATAACCTGCATTCATTACTTAAAATGGCGTAAAAAAAATTAAAACGCTGATAAAAGATGCACTTGAACCACTTGAAACACAAAAGTCATTTAAAAATAATAACAAACTATACAAAAAACGCTATTTAAAATGATATTTTAAAGCATTTAAAAATGCTGATTCACATTGATAACACGCAAATAAACTACCACCTTCACTTTTAATCATTACTTATTAAAAATAACGCAAAAAAAATTAAACCTGAAAATGATTAACCGCCTAAACACCCAATAAACTTGAACTTTTAAAAACGTTACTTATTAAAAAAAAATAAAATAAAATGGGTTAGAATGCCATACAATAAATGCTTATTTAAAATGCTGATTCACAATGGTAAACCTGTAAAAAAAATTGTAGTTATAATTTAAACACCACGTATAAAGTAAATTACAAATGACGCACAATTAAGCCTAAAAATTTTATTTTAAAGGATTTAAAAGTGCTGATTTACAATGGTAAATTAGTTGTCACTACCAATAAAACCGTTTTTAATTGACGCTTTAAAATGATTCAAAAGTATTTAAAAATGCTGATTTAATATAGTAACGCCCGAATAACCTGCATTCATTACTTAAAATTGCGTAAAAAAAGATTAAAAAGCTGATTAAAGATAAACTTGCACTTGAACCACTTGAAACACTAATAAAAAAGTCATTTAAAAATAATAACAAACTATACAAAAAAGCCGCTAAAATGATATTTTGAAGCATTTAAAAATGATTGATAACACACAAATAAACTACCACCTGCACTATTAATCCTTACTTATTAGAAAGACGCTGTTAAAAATGACGCAAAAAATTTTTTAAACCTGACAATGGTTAAACTTCCCAAACACTAATAATTAAGCAATTTAAAATTGCCGATTTGTAATGCGAACAACTAAATAAACTTACTTATTAAAAAAATCCAATAAAATGTATTAAAATGCCATACAATAAATGCTTATTTAAAAATGCTGATTCACAATGGTAAACCTGTTTAAAAAATTGTAGCAATAATTTACACACCACTTATAAAGGCAATGGAAAATGACGCACAAATAAGCTTAAAAATGCTATTTTAAAGCATTTAAAAATGCTGATTCACAACGGTAAATTAGATTGCACTTAACTTGTGTTGTCACTCCTAATAAAACCGAATAAAAATAAAGCGTAATTATGCATTAACATGCTATTTTGAAGTCTTTAAAAATGCTGATCTACAATGGTAGTCTTACACTATTAAAAAACACCACCAGTAAATTCATTTAAAACTAACGCGCATTTGTATGCGTGTTATATTAAAGCATTTAAAAACGCTGATTCACACTGATAAACATGCCAAAGAAGCTTGCATTTAACTAATTTAAACACTAAAAATAAGGCCGTTTAAAAATAAAGTTAAAATAATATGATTCAACTTTACTTATTAGAAACAGCCTCTAAAATTGGCGTAAAACGGCATTTGAAAGCCTATTGAAAACTTTTTTAATTGACTTGCACTTAAACCAACTTAATACTAATAAAATGCTTTTTTTAAGCATTTAAAATTCTGATTTGCACTGACCCAAATAAAGTGGTCTATTTGTTAGAAAAAAAAATTAATAAGACAAAAATTAAGGATACAAAATGCTAGGTATACCAAAGTATTTAAATATGCTGGTTTATTATGTCAAGCCTCGAATAAACTTGCACTTACACTAACTTACACTTAAACTAACTTACACCCTAATATTTTTTTTTAGAATAAAGAGTGCTTTACAAAAGCATTCAAAAATTATAGTTTACCATTTTAAACCTCCTAGTTTAAAAGTCCTAAATAAAAGTGCACTTAACTAACTTAAACCCCACTTAAAACTCCAAATAAAATATAAAATTTACAGACCAAAGTTGCTTTGCTTTGGCAATAGGCGGTTCTCTTTTTTGAATAATTTATTTTGTTTTTTATGTTCACATAGGTCCAATATTTTGTGGGGGCACTCAAAATTATTAAAAAAATAAATAGTAATTTTTTGTGACTTTTTAATTTTAAAATAATAATAAATAAATAGCACATAAAACCAGTTTTAAAAAAATACCACACAATAATATAGTGCTATATAATATATATATATATATATATATATATATTATACCTAAACTAATTAGGCAACCTATTTATTTATTTCAATAAAAAACAGTACCTATGTATAGAAAATTCTATAATAGGTGTTGATCAAAATGGCCTAAAAGTATATAAACCTCTTTATATAAACAAAAAATAAATATAAATCCACTTACCCCTGGGCCTCCGACATCAGTATTTCTGCAAAAACCACCTATACCTATACCTATAGCTTTTAAGTATAAATAAAAGTGCCTATAAAATGTATTTACAAACCTAAGCTAGGTCCTAGCATATATTCCTTAGAGCAAAATTAGTTGATTTAATAAACTTTAAAATAATTACCTACAGCTTTAACATTTCTACAACAATGGAATAGAAGGGGTTTAAGTTCAAAATTTAGATTGTCCAACTTATTAACTACAATATTATTATTACTCTAATGGCTTTATGAATTTTTATATGTGCAGTAATTTTAGGTACCTAGGTAACTTGTACCTGCACAGACTAAAAGTTGCCAATAACACAAAATGTAGGTCTTCGTTATAATTTTAATTTTTCGTAAAACAACTGCAAATTATTAAAATTCAAATGTCACAAAAACCATAAGGGTAAATAGGTTCTATCCGGATTGAAATTTTATGCTGAATGTTAAAATATTTTTAAAATAATTTCCTAAAATAAATTTTAAATAATGCAAAATCCATATTACGATGGGCAATGCCACAAGTGGTTGTAGTTGTTTGAAGGCCTCCAAAAAATCCTCCACAATGTTAAAGTACTTCTCCACACAAAACAATAAAAGTTAACACACAAAAACATTATTTGTTTGCACAATAAAATAATGAATTAAAAAGCCAAACTTAATGTTTATAAACAAACACAAACCGCACAAAAAGTTTCGTTGCCACACGAAATATCGCATTAAAAACGATAAAATACACCGTTGGCACTTTAATAACACGAGTATTTACACGAAAAACCGATATTCGCAAGTTTTTACAGAAGCTCAAAAGTTAGGTTATATTCGAGTGTTTTGTATGTCATATTTTGTTGGCAGCACTGAATCAGTGCCACTGATAATACAAATATTAAAGCAGCATTTACAGATATTACGTGGGTATTTAATGCAAAAGTTGATTATTTAGTGTCTTAATTTACAATTAAATACGAAGCATGTTTAGGTGCATATTTAGCCGAAATACTCTTGAACCGAAATGAAATCCGGCAACGACTATATAATATTCACACCTGCCAACCAACATTGATCTATTACATAGGTTTGTTCCAATAGGGAAAACAACCAGTAATTGATATTAATTATTATGTGAGCAAAGTTATATTTTTCAGCACTTGGGCAGGCACGCTCAACATTGCGGAAAGTAGAACTTTTCGCACGCTTGTAGAATTTTTTTACTTTCTAGAAATGAAAACTTCCGAGATTCCCTTCCTTGTAGAAATAGTTATTTATGTCATTAGGTTAAACAGTAAGGCTTTTTGTGCTAGGCTCAAGGTTACAATTGAGCGAAGCACAAAAAGGCACTTCTTGGCCAAATGGCATACAACATTTTATCTTCAAATCACTTTATATAGGTCAATTTAATTCAACATCAAAGCGGCCTAACCTCACTTTTTTAGAATCTCATTTATTTATTAGCTAAAGATTACATTAAATGTACAATAAATATTATTGCTTTTAGAAACAGTAATAGTTTGACAATACATGATTTAAGTAGAAATTGAATTTTGCTATTACATTGATTTATATATTAATTGTTTAATAAATAGGTAGGTATCTAATTTCAATTTGTTTGAATTTTAATTTAAAAAATAGGTAGTTTGGAATGTTTAAACTGTGTTTAACATTTAATTTCACTGAAAACTTAAAGATAATTTAAATCGTAGAAAAAGAATCGTGCGTTTTCGTGGTTGCCTAACCTCACTTTTTGTTTTATTATTCATATTTAATTTTACAATAGTTTAATGAAAAATATTAAACATTAACAGTAAAACAAACAAATTAGTGCTTATTATAAATAAATTAAACCAGTTTAGTACGTTAATTTCTTAAAAAAGGATTAATTTGTCAAAACAATACCCCTAGCGAGAAAAAATCGAACTAATTACTTGCCTCATAAATGTTTTTATCGGCCTAGGCCATAACATGTTGACAACAATAAAGTTTAAATTATAGACCGCGTGGAGATAAAATTATTTATTTTAATTCATTAAATAAAACTAAATGGAAATGCCTTCAATTAATTCAGTATTTAAATAATACATAGGGTAATGCAGCTTTTCATTTTTCAAGGTAAACCTATTATTTTTAGATTTAAAAATGTCAATGTTTCAGATCTTATATCTTCTTAAGTAATAAAGGTAGTAATAAAATGCTATTTCAAAACATTTAAAAATGCTGATTTGCACTGGTAACATAAACTACTACCTTTTAAAACTGCTTATTAAAACACACAATTTCGTAAAAAACTTAATAATTGCAAAAACATTTAAAAACGCTTTTTTACAATGGTAAACCGCTTAATTTAAACTTAAACGATATTTTAAAGCATTTCAAAATGCTGATTTAATATGGTATAACCTAACTCAACTAGCAGTGCTATATAGCACTTGTACTAGTTATTTAACATTATTTATTAGAAACAAGCCATTTAAGGGCGTAGTGTTGTATTAAAACGCTGATTCATAATGGTAGACCTAAATAACCTTTTACTTTATCTAATTGAAACACTGGTAATAAATAAAGCCAATTTAAAATGAAGCAAAATTAGGCATTACAGTTCCATTTTAATGTATTTAATAATACTGATTCACAATGGTAACACCCAAATAAACTAGCACTTGCACTTTTTAAAACACGACTTATTGACAAAATTAATCATTAAAAATGCTGATCCACTTGGTCAAAATTAACTTGGCGTAAAGAATGACTTGGACATGGTAACTGAGAAATAAACTAGCACTTTTAAACACACTATTTATTGTAAAAAAATTAACAAATGCTTCATATTGGCAAAAATATTTAAAATTCCCAATGGTAAACATCCTAAATATATTTACACTGAACTAATTTAAGCTTATAACGCAATAAAATTATATTTTATTTTATAAATGGTGATTTCTCATGGTCAAACTCAAATAAACTACCACTTGCACTATTAAAAATTAAAAAATAAAATAAAATAAGGCATTATTTAATACATCACTAATAAAGTCATTTTACAGTTAACAATAAAACAATTTAAAAAGATTAAAAAAAAGCATTAAAATGGTATTTTAATGTACTTAAAATACTAACCTATGGTAAACAATCATTTGCATTACTAAAAACCTCATTAAAAACTAATACTAAAACTAATTTATACATCACTAATAAAGTAATTTACGCTGATTAAAAATTTCTATTAAAATGCTATTTTGAAGCATTTAAGAATGCTGATTCACATCTAAATTTGGTCTTTATCTTTAATTCATTTTATTTTTTTTATATTTTCTTGTAACGTTCAGTTTCGTAATGTTATAAAGTCACAGTACACACAAACTCACGTTGTTCCTTATGTTTGCTGATGATGTGCTTTTGCAACCTTTGATTTTCCACTGTTGTAAAGTCACAGAAATCGCAAGAAAACATTTTTATGGTTAATTCAACTTTCTTTTCCAACTTATTTTGTTCTTTATGTTTGATGTAAATGTGTTTTTGAAACCAATGTTTGTTTAAAGTTGTAAAGTCACAGTATACACAGGAGTAAGTTTTAACGTTTAGTGCTACTTTATTTTCCAACTCATTTTGCTCTTTATGTTTGACGTAGATGTGTTCTTGAAGCCTTTGATTTTCTACTGTTGTAAAGTCACAGTAAACACATGAGTAAGTTTTTATGTTTAGTGCTACTTTATTTTTTAAATCATTTTGTTTTTTATGGTTTTTTATAACGTGTATTTGAAACGTTCGGTTTCGTACTGTGATAAAGTCACAGTACGCACAAGAATAAGTTTTTATTAAATTCATGGCTTTCTTTTTTAGCTCATGTTGGTCCTTATGTTTGCTGATGATGTGCTTTTGCAACCTTTGATTTTCCACTGTTGTAAAGTCACACAAATCGCAAGAAAACGTTTTTATGGTTAATTGAACTTTATTTTCTAACTTATTTTGTTCTTTATGTTTGATGTAAATGTGTTTTTGAAGCCATTGTTTGTTTATCGTTTTAAAGTCACAGTATACACAGGAGTAAGTTTTAATGTTTAGTTGTACCTTATTTTCTAACTCATTTTGTTCTTTATGTTTGACGTAGATGTGATCCTGAAGTCTTTGATTTTCCACTGTTGTAAAGTCACAGTATACACATAAGTAAGTTTTTATGTTTGGTGCTACTTTATTTTGGAAATCATTTTGTTTTTTATGTTTTCTTGTAACGTGTATTTGTAACGTTCGGTTTCGTACTGTTGTAAAGTCACAGTACACACAAGAATACATTTTTATCGAATTCGTGGCTTCCTTATTTAGCTCATAGTTTTCCTTATGTTTGCTGACGATGTGTTTTTGCAACCCTTGATTTTCCGCTGTTACAAAGTCACAGAACTCGCAAGAAAACATTTTCATGTTTAATTCAACTTTATTTTCCAAATTATTTTGTTCTTTATGTTTAATGTAAATGTGTTTTTGAAGACATCGTTTGTTTAACGTTGTAAAGTCACAGTATACACAGGAGTACGTTTTAATGTTTAGTGCTACTTTATTTTCCAACTTATTTTGTGCTTTATGTTTGATAAAAATGTGTCTTTGAAGGCATTGGTTGTCCACTGTTGTATAGTCACAGTATACACAGAAGTGAGTTTTTGTGTTTAGTACAACTTTTTTTTCCATCTCATATCGTTTTTTGTGCTTCCGACAAATATGCCGTCGTAACGATTGTTTGTAAGTTGTTGCATAGTCACAGTACATACAAGAAAATCTTGTTCTTTTTGTTGTATCTTCTTTAGTTGGGTTTTCTTCTTCATCTTTGATAACAATGTTGTCCACTGATGTATGCCCATGGTCTTTGATCATATGCTGGTTTACTTCGTATTCTGGTCCGATAAAAAAGCAGTCGCTGTATCCGCATGTCGATTTACTGTAACAAAAAAAAGTTTTAATTTTTTGCATTTATTTTGTTTGTATTTTTATATAACTAAATCTATCCACATTTGTCCATAAAAATAATACTAAAATATACAGAAAAAACCTTTATTAAACTAGATTAGCACTGCTGTAGCACTTTTATAAACAATTTTCATTAACTAACGTTTTAACAATAAAAGGTTTTATTAATTTATTTGCAGATCCACACATATTATAAAATACAAATTATTTTAATTTGTAGCCTTTTTTAAGTCGATAATAAAAACTTAATTACTTAATTAATATTGCATTTGATATCGCCCTTAATTTGTTATTAACATTTTTGTTATTCAAAACGATAAATTAAAAAATATTACTTAATTAGGTTTTTAAAGAATGTTTACACCTGATGTTAATGAAAGACCTATTGATTACTCAACGAAAGTAACAAGATATTGTTACTGATTTTCCTCTTTATGTTTGCTATAGATGTGGTATTAAAAAACATACAATATTCTTAAAAATATTTTTTTATTAATATTAATACCATTAATAAAATCAAATAATTACAACAATAAAAAAGGACCCAAATAATTTTATTCAGTAGTGATTTATGTAAAGATAATATATTGCAGTGATAAATTATTGCTAAGAAATTTACATTTACCTTCACTTATGGCACGCCGTTTTAACATTTATTAAATAATTTTTTAATTTAAAATTTTATTGGTTTAAAATTTTCCTAACTAAAAATTTTAGGTTTACATTTATAAATTTATAATATTTTCAACTATCATGTATTGAAAGACAAAATTTACTAACCAACAGTTCACTTCTGTATTAAACAATATTATTTTCCATCAATTTTTGCAAAAATTTCTAACTATCATTTTTTAATAAAAATAATTTCGCATTTTGTTAACTTAAATAAATATTTTATAAAATTATTGAGATTAATTTGGCAAAGTTAAATTTTTTAGTATTTAAAAATAGTATCAAGCCATTTAAAATAAAAACACATATAAAACATTTTCTACCGAAATAGTTTAAAAAGTTAAATTTTTGTAAACTCAAAACTATCGATAATCAAATATTTTAAATATAAAAATGCAACTGTAAAAGTTTAAGTTTAAAAATATTATTTAAAAAAAAAATGGAATTTTAATATTTTATTCTTCAAAATTATTGGTTTGAATTTGTAAAGAGTCATTTAAATGATAGTCGATAAATTTTCAATACAAAAATTTGAACATTACATTCAAATGTTAGTTTTAAATTTTATCGACTATCATTTAAATGACTCTTTACAAATTTAAACCTATAACTTTTATTTTTAACAATTTTAAATTGATACATTTTTAAGACAACATTTATAACTTTACATTTAAATGTAAATCGATAATTTTTAAATTACAAAGTGTAAAGTTTACACTGTAAACGTACCTTTAGTAGAAGGCACAGTGTTGAAAAATCGTGCTTGCTCTATAAATATTTGACGAGTTTTACAAATTATCGTAATGAAATGTTTCTTTATTACATAAAGTTAATAATAGAACAACAACATTTTTAGTGCCTATTCGACAATTAAAAAACATCAACGGATCAAACTGGCTGCATCGTGGCTCCGATCCCAGACTCGTGTGCCTTCTTCTAAAGCTACGTTTACACTTTGTAATTTAAAAATTATCGACTTACATTTAGTCGATAAATTTTTAATCCAAAAATTACCACTTTAAAATTTAAAACGTACATTTAATGTATTGTGAGAATTTTTGTATAAAAAATTTATCAACTATCATTTAAATGACTCTTTAAAAATTTAAACAAATAATTTTGTAGAATAAAATATTACAACCAAAACTTTTAAAAATCAATATTTTTAAACATAAATTTTAACTGTTGCATTTTATTTTAAAATATTTTTTGACTATCAATTGTTTTGAGTTTAAAAAAATATAACTTTATAAATTTCTGTTAAAACATAATTTAAGTGCTAAACTTTAATCTTTAAACTTTTATCTAATAAACGACGTGCCATATTCACTACAACTTTTTTTCAGAATTATTTTGTTTCTTATATTTTCTATAAATGTGGATTTGTAAACTACTCTTTCCGAAGTCACAGTATACACAAGATAAAATTCATAAAATCCACAACAAATATACACCCTGCAGGTTCGTGAACACCTAGACAGCTAACACTTCCTTATAAGAAATTGTCCTAAAAAAAAGAACGGAGATATTAAAAACAAATTTAGTACTTACTGCAAATGGCTTAATTTTGGAAAGAAGTTCTTCCTTTTGCACCTAATAGAATATTGGCACTACTTGTGCTCACATTATAAATATAATAATTATATAGCAAAAAAAATTAGTTCCCTCATTAAACCTTAGTTTATGAACGGTTTAATTTGGGCAACATAACTTAAGAATTATTAGACCATAATCGTAATTTAAATATGAGTCAATCCAAATGAAAACACCAAAAATGAATTTAAAAGTGCGCTGCATGATTTTTTATTTTAATGAAAAAATTTGAGGATGATCTTTTTTATATGAAAAACCGTTGCCGTTTTAATTTTTATTTGCTTTATCTTTAATCGGCACCCATTAGAAACCTGAAATCGTGTCATTTTCTTACTCTCTTATAAGAGGCTAAAACTTTTTTTCTGTGGCAATTATTGAAATGATTGTAATTTTATTTTACTGCCTAGTAAGTATGTTTTCAATATTAATTATTATTATCTAATTAGTTCATCTCATAAAAGAATGGTAAACCACTAAAGATTTGTAATAATTTGCCAATTTTTGTGATTTTTGTCTGGCTCCTGTGCCTATTCTGCTAAATCTAGAAACTTGTTTTTTTCAAGTACTTATACAATAGAAAACGTAACTCTTATTTTAAGTTTCTATACTATCATTTTCTTTATTAAAAAAATTATTGAATCTTGATAATTTTTAAAATTAGCCAATTTTGCCCTCAGAAATCATTATGTTGAGGAAAAAATAAAAATCTGAAACTTTCAGGAAATGTAGTCCCCACCTTCATCTTTTCTGTCTAGTTAGTCTTGTTTTGTTAATTTTATCCATGTTAAAGATAAAATATTTTTTTTAATGCAGTTAAGAAGCGATATTGTTAGTTTTATTTATAATTTAAAATTTAGATGGCTTTGACTTAGTCAATTCATGTTTCGTAGACAAATGTCAGAACTGTCAAAAATATTTCATAAATATTATTTGTGCGTATTTAAATTGTGATTTCAAAAAGTTTGCAAGTGTAATAAATGACGGAGTGTTCGAGATTCATGAATTTAATTGCAATTAAAAATGCAAGAACATATCATAATTTCTCTTTCTTATAGAAAATATTCAAGTTGTGAGAAGTTTTAAATTGTTAAAAATATGCAAAAATCAAAAAATATTCTAAATAAACCCCTTTATTATAACATGTTTTATTTTAACCGGTTACCTAAAAACTAAAATTTAGAGAAGTATTTACAGATTGTGTAATTTTTTTCCAACACTAACATTTAAAATACATTGGTACATATAATTATTTAGTGCCTTACTAAAGGGATCAAAATAATAGTACAAGACTAACTTGGTTTAAATTGTGAAAGAAACCGACAAAAAACTGCTTAACGCATTAACGTTAAGTCCTTCTTTATTTTAAAGGATATATTTTTTTCCTTTCTTTGTCTCGGGAAGGTAGTCATATACACAAAGGTAGAATCACAAAGAGGCTAAGTTGGTTAGAACGCTGCCGGGGGCTCTTTTTTTTTGAGGAACTTCTGCTGAAAATTACTCTAATAGCTTCGAAGAAGGCTATTTTGTTTGGTGGGTACAAGTGGTTACGGGCTCACTAGGAAAAAAGGTATGGTTAAATTTTGCAGCCTGTTTAATATGGGTAGTTTGGGTAGTCTGCAGCAAAATGGCTGTGGAACAGTTTTTTAACGTTATACAATAAAAACCCAACACGTTAAGAAAAAAATGTATTTATATCGATTTAACAATTTTTCAATAATTACATGTTTGTCTTAGAAAAAACATTTTAGTATATCGTACCATACCATACATTTAAAAATTTAAAAAACCACGTAATAAAATTATCAAACAAAATGTTAAAACTCCTTTTCTTAAAAAAACAAATAATAGTAGATTATGTTATAAGGAGTAGAAGTGACTCTTTTTGTGGTGAGTACATAAATTGACGGCCGAAGCGTAGCTGAGGCAGGCAACTGTACGAAGCACAAAAAGAGCTTCTACTCCAAATAACATATACAATTTTTTTTTCAAGGGCATAATATAAATAGGATAAGCAATAGAATTATTTTATTTACTCATAACTCGTGTGGGATAAAATTTTGGCTAAAAGCATTAGAAATTATTGATAAAAACTAAAAAAACTAATAAACCTTACTTACAATGCCGATAATTATCCGAAACTAAAACCAAACACTGCTCTGTCAAAATGCTGCGCTTGAATTAATTTTGACGTACTGACATTTGTTTGAAGTTTTGACATTGGCGACTCGTCTATCATCATAATATTATACTAATAAACTAGTTTTTCTTTATTTCGTTCAATTAAAATTTAATAAATAATCACTAAATATTCCGTGCGATTATAATTAATATAATTAATACATCGTGATTGCTTTGTATGAAATGCTAAATTAATTTTATTATTTGACGTTTATTGAGTCACCTATGGATTTACTTCTATCCCTAGGCTTTTTTGAGTTTTTTGTCTACCGCTAATGAAAAAGACGCACTTCAACTATCTCTATACATGCATATAAGGTTGTAAATCATGGCCGCTTGAAAAAAAAAACATATTATTTCTTCCTAAAAACGAAAATTATATTATCATTTAAAAATAGATGAGCATTTGTTGCAAAAATGGCGAATGCGCCGGGATGAAATAATGAATATAAAATTTATAAATAACTTGACTACAGCGCCACCTATCAAATCCTGCATAGCTATGAACTATCGCCTCGACAAAACAAATTTATTGTGGGAATATTGTCTCAATCGGCCAAGTCGTTCAGAAGTTACACGAGTACTAACAGACGCAACAATTAGTATGTCTTGGATTTTTATCGGGAAAATTGTATAGTCAATAGAATTCGCAAAATGATAAATTTATCAAAATATATTTATTTTTTCAAAAATTTTAAAAACTCCTTGGCCGAATTTATTAAAACTTACAGGTTTTTAGTAATGAACGAAAGGGCCTAATAAAAAGTAATTAAATTTGATTTAGTTAATCCATAGGCGGCGCTGGGGCATCCCAACTAGATATTTAAAAATATAATTCGGGTACGCTACTGTTTTTTAGTTAGTTTAATGTTACTTTTAGATTAATCAATTAAAAATACAACTATTTAGTCTTCTGCATTTTTTCTCAGTTTTGTTTAAGTTTTAAGTAAAAATAAAATTCTATTATTCGCTTGTTTCTGGAAAAATTATAACGAGCGGATAAACAATTTTTTTTTGTCTTGAAAATTAAGCAAGATAAATAAAAAATGCGAGGGACCAAAAAGTTATATTTTGAATTGCTTACTTAAATATAATATCAAACTCATAAAAAGCAGTGGCGTGACCATAATTTGGTTTATTAACTTTTATTTTTATGGCTAAATTAGTCAAAATTTAGCCGTTAAAGTGCCTATACAAAATTAATTTAGATTGTACTCAATATAAAAAATCACAAAAAACGGTGCAGTGTTATTTGCAGTTTTCAAATCAGAGAAATTATTAAAAGTAAAAAATGTATCGCTAGTTCATTTTTTATTATGTTGTCCATGTTTGCTATATAGGTGGTTTTGCAGCTTTGAGTTATCAAATGTTTCATAGTCACACAAAAAACAAGAGTAAGTTTTTATGTTTATTTTCACTTTCTTTTCCAATTCATTTTGTTCTTTATGTTTGGTATACAAGTGCTTTTTTAATATTTGGTTCTTAATTGTGGAGAATTCACAGTACACACAAAAGTAAGTTTTTAAATTTAGCGCTACTTTATTTTCTAAATCATTTTGTTCCTTGTGTTTTTTATAAATGTGAGTTTGCAGCTTTTGATTTTCCACTGCTGTAAAGTCACAGTAAACACAAGAGTAAGTTTTTACGTTTATTTCCACCTTCTTTTCCAATTCATTTTGTTCTTTATGTTTCCTATAAATGTGCTTTTTTAATATTTGGTTCAAAGTTGTGGAGAATTCACAGTACACACAAGAGTAAGTTTTTATTTCTAATTGAATTTGTGCTTTATGTTTTCGGTATATGTGATTTTGCAGTTTTTCATTTTGTACTGTTGAGAAGTTACAGTACACACAAGAGTAAGTTTTTATGTTTAGTGCTACTTTATTTTCTAACTCATTTTGTTTTTTATGTTTTAGGTAGATGTGTTTTTGAAGGCAGTTTTTGTTTATCGTCGTAAAGTCACAGTATACACAGGAACAACTTTTTATATTTAGAGCTACTTTATTTTTTAAGTCATTTTGTTTATTATGGTTTCTCATAACGTGTATTTGAAACGTACGGCTTCGTGCTGTTGTAAAGTCACAGTACACACAGGAGTAAATTTTTATGTTTAGTGCTACTTTATTTTCCAACTCGTTTTGTTTCTTATGTTTGCTGATAATGTGCTTTTGCAGCCCTTGATTTTCAACTGTTGTATAGTCACAGAAATTGCAAGTAAACTTTTTTATGTTTAATTTTACTTTGTTTTCCAACTTATTTTGTTCTTTATGTTTGATGTAAATGTGTTTTTGAAGACATTGTTTTTTTAACGCAGTAAAGTCACAGTATACACAGGAGTAAGTTTTTATGTTTAAAGCTACTTTATTTTCTAACTTATTTTGTTCCTTATGTTTACTGTAAATGTGGTTTTGAAGCCTTTGGTTTTCTATTGTTGTATAGTCGCAGTATACACAGGAGTAGATTTTAATGTTTAGTGCTACTTTATTTTCCAACTCATATTGTTCTTTGTGCTTGTGATAAGTATGCCGTCGTAAAGATTGTTTGTAAGTTGTTGTATAGTCACAGTACATGCAAGAAAATCTTGTTTTATCTTCTTTAGTTGGTTTTTGTTCTTTATCTTTGATAACTTTGTTCTCCACTGATGTATGCCCATGGTCTTTGCTCATGTGCTGGGTTACTTCGTATTCTGGTCCGGTAAAAAAGCAGTCACTGTATCCGCATGTCGATTCACTGAAACAAAAAAAGTTATAATTTATAATTATAATTTATTTTGTTTGTATTTTTATATGAACTTAACTAAAACTATCCACATTTGTCAATAAAAATAATACTAAACTATGTATACAGAGAAAAACTTTAGTCTAGATTAATAACTTTTTGGCTAATAAACATTAACTATATTTTACAATAAAAATTAAAGTAACACGGTTTTCTGTAGCACTTTAAAATTATTTTCATTAACTAACGCTTTCCAATAAAACGGAAACATTTATTAAAAAGCAGTCACTGTATGTGCATGTAACTAAAAAGAAGTTTTAATTTTTATATATTTTTTTAAATACGAACTAACATTATCTAGATTTTTAAAAATAAAACTAAACTTTATAAAAAAACTTTATTATTGAGCGAATGATTTTTTGTACATTTGATTTTGCAGCTTTTTGGGGGAAGGGGAAGTAACATTACTCACAAGAGTAAGTTTTAATGTATTTTTCTACTTTATTGTTTAACTCATTTTGTTGTCTATTATGAGGCGCCGTTTGTGCAATAATTATAAATAAAAAAATATGTGAATATAAAACAATATTTTAAAAATATATAAATGTAAATAAAAAATTATAAAATATTACTTAATAAAATAAAATTATAAATTGAGATTTAACCTTATAATATGCGTAAATATATTTTATCAATATAAACGCAAAGTTATTTATATTTCCTCAACAGTTACCATATATTGTTGGTTACTAATGAAATTAGCGTCTTACATTACGAGTTAATTTTTCACTGTCAAAAGTTTTTAGGTTTGAGCTAACTACTTTATTTTTTAAGTAATTTTGTTCTTTTTGTGTATCTGAAAATTTAGGTTTTAAAGGGTCCAGGCTCCAAGTCTCATGTTCTCAAAAAAAGTTTCTCAGCACAAATTTCTCAAAGCAAAATGTCCTTAAAGCAAAAATAACTTCAAACTAAATTAAATCGCCATCATCCAGGGACCTACAAAAAAATTCAGTCATCAAAAATTACTAAAGTCTATGCCTATTAATATATAAATAGGTATAATTACTAGAAATTTTCAGTTATATGCATGATAACTAACCCAAACAAACCATCATTCGGAGACAGGAACTATTTACATAGATCAAAATATACCACAAAAAATTATTGAGACACAGTGTGTAGTTTTATTTTGAGGATTTTTCAGAAACATTGTTTTTGTTATTGGCTTATCTGAATAGAAGGTTTAATTTCGGAAACAAGTTTCTTCAATAGCACCCAATAGAAATAATCATTAGGTATATTGCGAAAACAAAATAGTTTACCTCATTGTTAAATTTGGGCAACATAACTTAAGAATTATTAGACCATCACAGTAATTTAAATATACAACAGGAAATACGCTAAGCCCTTCTTTATTTTTAAGGATTAATATTTTTCTATCCTTTGTTTGGGGATGGTAGTCACATACACAAAGGTAGAATCACAAACTATTACTTATAATCACTTGAATTTGTCTTTGTTCAAGGGGTGAATTAATCCAAGGAAAAAAGGTATGGTTCAATTTTGAAGCGTGTTTAATATGGGCGACTTTACCCTGGCCGACAAAAAAATCTCTTTCCAGCAGGGTATACAATAACTTTTCTAGGGTTATTTGGGTAGTCTGCAGCAAAATGGCTGTGGACCATTTTTTTAATGTTTCACAATAAAAACCACAACTCGTTAAGAAAAAAATATGTATTTATAACGATTTAACAATTTTTCAATAATTACATGTTCGTCTTAAAAAAATAACATTTTAGTATATCGTACTTGGGAAAAAATTACCATACATTTAAAAATTTAAAAAACCACGTAATAAAATTATCAAACATAATGTTAAAACTCCTTTTCTTAAAAAAAAACAAATAAAAAAGAATAAAACATTATTTCTTCCTAAAAACGCAAATTATAGTATCTTTCGAAAAAAGAGCATTTAAAAAAATCTGAATTTGTGTACAAACAGAACATACTCGTTTAAAATAAACTAGCTGTTACGCCCTTTGTTGCAAAAATGGCGAATGCACCGGGATGAAATAATTAATATAAAATTTATAAATAACTTGACTACAGCGCCACCTATCAAATCCTGCATAGCTATGAACCATAGCCTCGACAAAACAAATTTATTGTGGGAATGTTGCCTCAATCGGTCAAGTCGTTCAGAAGTTACACGAGTACTAACAGACGCAACAATTATATTGTCTTGGATTTTTATCGAAAAAATCTTATAGTCGATAGAATTCGCAAAATGGTAATTTTATTAAAAATATTTATCTTTTCAAAATTTTTAAAAACTCATTGTCCGGATTTAATAAAACTAAAACCAGGTTTTTAGTAATGAACGAAAGGGCCTAATTAAAAGTAATTAAATTTGATTTAGTTAATCCATAGGCGGCGCTGGGGCACCCTAACTAGATATTTAGTCTTCTGCATTTTTTCTTTGTTTTGTTTAAGTTTTAAGTAAAAAATGCATGGCTACTTTATTTTTTATTATATTGTTCCTTATGTTTGCTATAGATGTGCTTTTGCAGCTTTTGATTTTCAAATGTTTCAAAATCACAAAAAACACAAGAGTAAGTTTTTATGTTTATTTCCACTTTATTTTTCAATTCATTTTCTTCTTTATGTTTCCCAAGAAAGTGTCTTTGCAACGAATCTTTGTAAACTGTTGTAAAGTCACAGTATACACAAGATTTTGTTTTAATGTTTAATTTTACTTTATTTTCCAACTTATTTTGTTCTTTATGTTTATTGTAAATGTGGTTTTGTTGCTTTTGTTTACCAAATGTTGTAAAGTCGCAGTATACACAGGAGTAAGTTTTAATGTTTAGTGCTACTTTATTTTCCAACTTTTGTTCTTTATGTTTGATGTAGATGTGCTTTTGAAGCATTTGATTTACCACTGTTGTAAAGTCACAGAAATCGCAAGAAATTTTTTTTATGATTAATTTTACTTTATTTTCCAACTTATTTTGTTCTTCATGTTTGATGTAAATGTGTTTTTGAAGCCATCGTTTGTTTAAAGTTGTAAAGTCACAGTATACACAGGGGTAAGTTTTTATGTTTAGTGCTACTTTATTTTCTAAATCATTTTGTTCTTTATGTTTGATGTAAATGTGTTTTTGAAGCAAGTGATCTTCCAATGTTGTAAAGTCACAGAAATCGCAAGAAATTTTTTTTATTTTTAATTGTACTTTATTTTCTAACTTGTTTTGTTCCTTGTGTTTGGTATAAATGTGCTTTTGCAGCTTTTGATTTCCGAATGTTTCAAAGTCACAAAAACCACAAGAGTAACTTTTTACGTTTATTTCCACTTTCTTTTCCAATTCATTTTGTTCTTTATGTTTCCTATAGATGTGCCTTTGTAATGTTTGGTTTAAAGGTGTGGAGTATTCGCAATACACACAAGAGTAAGTTTTTATTGCTACTTGTGGTTTATGTTTTCGGTATATGTGATTTTGCAGAATATTATTTTCTACTGTTGAGAAGTTACATAACTCACAAGAGTAAGTGGTTATGTTTATTTGTACTTTCTTTTCCAATTCATTTTGTTCTTTATGTTTCCTATAGATGTGCTTTTGTAATGTTTGGTTTAAAGGTGTGGAGTATTCGCAATACACACAAGAGTAAGTTTTTATTGCTACTTGAATTTGTGCTTTATGTTTTCGGTACATGTGATTTTGCAGTTTTCCATTTTTTACTGATGAGAAGTTACAGTGCACACAAGAGTAAGTTTTTAAATTTAGCGCTACTTTATTTTCTAAATCATTTTGTTTTTTATGTTTGAGGTAGGTGTGTATTTGAAAGCAGTTTTTGTTTATCGTTGTAAAGTCACAGTATACACAGGAGTAATTTTTTATGTTTAGTTCTACTTTATTTGTTAAGTCATTTTGTTTTTTATGTTTTCTTAGAACGTGTAATTGTAACGTTCGGTTTTGTACTGTTGTATAGTCACAGTACACACAAGAACGCGTTTTTAATAAATTTATCGATACTTTCTTTTTAAGCTCATATTGTTCCTTATGTTTGCTGATGATGTGCATTTGCAGAGTTTGATTTTCCACTGTTGTAAAGTCACAGAAATCGCAAGAAAACGTTTTAATGTTTAATTCTACTTTATTTTCTAATTTATTTTGTTCTTTATGTTTGATGTAAACGTGTTTTTGAAGCCATTGTTTGTTTATCGTTGTAAAGTCACAGTATACACAGAAGTGAGTTTTTATGTTTAGTGCTACTTTATTTTCCAACTCATATTGTTCTTTGTGCTTGAGATAAATATGCCGTCGTAAAGATTGTTTGTAAGTTGTTGCATAGTCACAGTACATGCAAGGAAATCTTGTTATTTTTGTTTTATGTTCTTTAGTTGGTTTTTGTTCTTCATCTTGGATAACTTCTTTCTCTACTAATGGTCCATGGTCTTTGCTCATATGCTGGGTTACTTCGTATTCTGGTCCGGTAAAAAAGCAGTCGCTGTATTCGCATGTCGATTCACTGCAACAAAAAAAGCTTGAATTTTTTTAATGTTATTTTTAATGTATAAAAATAGGATATATTTGTCAACAAAAATAACAAACAATACAGAAATAGTATAATATTAAACGAGAGATAATGCAGCCTATTGAATAATACGCATAATCTCGAGTGTAATACTATACTTTATCTACTCCAATAAGTAGATAATTAAACGATTTTCAAAAATAAAAAAAATAAATCTGACATCCCGATGAAAAAAGACTTTATATATTTGTATACAATTATATATAATTGTATATAAATATATATAAGACTCTTGTACGACCCTATATAATTCTATATATTTATATAAAAATTATATATATTTAATTACATAAATTTCTATAGAATTATATATAAGTCTCTTGTAAGGACCTATATAATTATATAAACAATGTATAACAATTAAATGGAATTGTATGTAATTATATAAAATTATTTAATCTCTTTAATCTCTTTAAAAAAATGAAAATCACTTTGATTCAAAAGATTTGCCCTTTTAAATAGGGCCAAGAGCCATGTTTCTTAATCTAAATCAGAAACTATCTTTAAATAATTTTTTTTAAATTACTTGAGGGGAGAGATTAATCTATTCGTTTAAGGATATTACAATATTAGCTTAAATCACGAGCAAGCGATTTCTTGGTACAAAAACCAAAAATATTTATTTGAATATTTTGAATGAAGAAAACGTTTTTTAGCGCAAAAAAATGGGATTTTAACAAGAAAATTGTATCTCTTAATTAAAAAGCTTAGCAACTTTCTGAGAAAGAAAATTTGACTTGCTACAAATTCGAACAATTTTTTTTTCAAAATTAAATCAGAATCTTAAAATATACTGAAAACCACCCATACAACAACTTTTCTAGGGTAATTTGGGTAGTATGCAGCAAAATGGCTGTGGACCAGTTTTTTTTAATGTTCTACTATAAAAACCCAACCCGTTACGAAAAAATATGTATTTATAGCAAATTTAACAATTTTTCAATAATTACATGTTCGTCTTAAAAAGATTATTTTAGTATAACGTACTTGGTAAAAAATTACCATACATTTAAAAATATAATGAGGCTTAAAAAAACACGAAATAAAATCATACAACAAAATTGTAAAACTATTTTTATTAAAAAAAAACAATAAAATTTATTATTCATTTATATTTATGTAATATAAATATCCACCAGTGGACAAAGATTATTTTACTTTACGTTAATTTTTTACGACGTTAATTTTAGTTTTCAGATTTAAGAATTTATTATTAAAAGTAAAAAATGCATGGCTACTTTATTTTTTATTATGTTGTTCCTTATGTTTGCTATGGATGTGCTTTTGCAGATTTTGATTTTCAAATGTTTCAAAATCACAAAAAACACAAGAGTAAGTTTTTATGTTTATTTCCACTTTCTTTTCCAATTCATTTTGTTCTTTATGTTTCCTAAGAATGTGTTTTAGCAACGAATTTTTGTAAACTGTTGTAAAGTCACAGTATACACAAGATTTTGTTTTAATGTTTAATTTTACTTTATTTTCCAACTTATTTTGTTCTTTATGTTGACTGTAAATGTGGTTTTGAAGCTTTTGGTTATCTACTGTTGTAAAGTTGCAGTATACACATGAGTAGGTTTTAATGCTTAGTACTACTTTATTTTCCAACTTATTTTGTTCTTCATGTTTGACGTAAATGTGTTTTTGAAGCTGTTCTTTGTTTATCGTTGAATAGTCGCAGTATACACAGGAGTAAGTTTTAATGTTTAGTGCTACTTTATTTTCCAACTCATTTTGTTCTTTATGTTTTCTGTAGATGTGTTTTTGAAGCAAGTGATCTTTCACTGTTATAAAGTCACAGAAATCGCAAGAAAACGTTTTAATGTTTAATTCCACTTTATTTTCTAAATTATTTTGTTCTTTATGTTTGATGTAAACGTGTTTTTGAAGCCATTGATTGTTTATCGTTGTAAAGTCACAGTATACACAGGTGTGAGTTTTTATGTTTAGTGCTACTTTATTTTCCAACTCGTTTTGTTCTTTATGTTTGATATAAATGTGTTTTTGAAGCCATTGTTTGTCTACTGTTTTATAGTCACAGTATACACAAAAGTAAGATTTTATGTTTAGTGCTTCTTTATTTTCCAACTCATACTGTTTTTTGTGCTTGAGATAAATATGCCGTCGTAAAGATTGTTTGTAAGTTGTTGCATAGTCACAGTACATGCAAGGAAATCTTGTTATTTTCGTTTTATCTTCTTTATTTGGTTTTTCTTTTTTATCTTTAATAACTTCGTTCTTAACTGATGTATGCCCATGGTCTTTGAGCATATGCTTAGTTACTTCGTAATCTGGTCCGGTAAAAAAGCAGTCGCTGTATTCGCATGTCGATTCACTGCAACAAAAAAAGCTTGAATTTTTTTAATGTTATTTTTAATGTATAAAAATAAGATATATTTGTCAACAAAAATAACAAACAATACAGAAATAGTATAATATTATACGAGAGATAATGCAGGCTATTGAATAATACGCATAATCTCGAGTGTAATACTATACTTTATCTACTGCAATAAGTAGATAATTAAACGATTTTCAAAAATAAAAAAATAAAATCTGACATCCCGATGAAAAAAGATTTTATATATTTGTATACAATTATATATAATTTATGTAATTACATAAATATAAATAAGTCTCTTGTAAGGACATATATAATTACAATGTATAAAATTATATATACAATGTATACAATTATAATATATATATGGAATTGTATGTAATTATATAAAAATACTGTATCTCTTAATTAAAAAGCTTAGCAACTTTCTAAGAAAGAAAATTTGTCTTGCTACAAAATCCGAACAAGTTTTTTTCAAAACTAAATCAGAATCTTAAAAGATACTTTTCTAGGGTAATTTGGGTAGTATGCAGCAAAATGGCTGTGGACTAGTTTTTTTTAATGTTCCAAAATAAAAACCCAACCCTTTAAGAAAAAATATGTATTTATAGCAAATTTAACAATTTTTCAATAATTACATGTTCGTCATAAAGATTATTTTAAACGTACTTGGGAAAAAATTACCATACTTTTAAAAATAGAATAAGGCTTAAAAAAACACGAAATAAAATCATACAACAAAATTGTAAAACTATTTTTATTAAAATTTAAACATTAAAATTTATTATTCATTTATATTTATATACTATAAATATCCACCAGTGGACGAAGATTATTTTACTTTACGTTAATTTTTTACGACGTTAATTTTAGTTTTCAGATTTAAGAATTTATTATTAAAAGTAAAAAATGCATAGCTAATTTATTTTTTATAATGTTGTTCCTTATGTTTGCTATAGATGTGCTTTTGCAGCTTTTGATTTTCAAACGTTTCAAAATCACAAAAAACACAAGAGTAAGTTGTTATGTTTATTTCCACTTTATTTTTCAATTCATTTTCTTCTTTATTTTTCCTAAGAATGTGTCTTCGCAACGAATCTTTGTAAACTGTTGAAAAGTCACAGTATACACAAGATTTTGTTTTGATGTTTAATTTTACTTTATTTTTGTTCTTTATGTTTATTGTAAATGTGGTTTTGAAGCTTTATGTTTTCTAATGTTGTAAAGTCGCAGTATACACATGAATAAGTTTTAATGTTTAGTGCTACTTTATTTTCCAACTTATTTTGTTCTTTATGTTTAATGTAGATGTGTTTTTGAAGCATTTGATTTTCCAGTGTAGTAAAGTCACAGAAATCGCAAGACATTTTTTTTATGTTTAATTTTACTTTATTTCCCAACTTATTTTGTTCTTTATGTTTGATGTAAATGTGTTTTTCAAGCCCCGACTTGTTTACCGTTGTGAAATCACAGTATACACAGGGGTAAGTTTTTATGTTTAGTGCTACTTTATTTTCCAATTCATTTTGTTCCTTATGTTTCCCATAAATGTGCCTTTGTAATGGTTGATTCTTAAATGTGGAGAATTCACAGTACACACAAGAGTAAGTTTTTAAATTTAGCGCTACTTTACTTTCTAAATCATTTTGTTCCTTATGTTTTTTATAAATGTGAATTTGCAGTTGTTTATTTTCCACTGTTGTATAGTCACAGTATACACAGGAGTATTTTCCAACTCATTTTGTTCTTTATGTTTGATATAAATGTGTTTTTGAAGCCATTGATTACTTAATGTTTTAAAGTCACAGTATACACAGAAGTATGTTTTAATGTTATCATATTGTTCTTTGTGCTTATAATAAATATGCCGTTGTAACGAATTTTTGTAAATTGTTGCATAGTCACAGTACATACAAGAAAATCTTTTTATTTTTTTTTATCCTTTTTAGTTGATATTTGTTTTTCATCTTTGATATTCACTGATGTATGCCCATGGTCTTTGCTCATATGCTGGGTTACTTCGTATTCTGGTCCGGTAAAAAAGCAGTCGCTGTATCCGCATGTCGATTCACTGAAACATAAAAAGTTATAATTTTTTAAATTTATTTTGTTTGTATTTTTATGAAATTAACTAAAACTATCCACATTTGTCAATAAAAATAATACTAAACTATGTATTCAGAGAAAATCTTTAGTCTAGATTAATAATTTTTTGGCTAATAAACATTTTTACATATTTTATAATAAAAATTAATATAAAACATTTTTTCTATTACACGGTTTTCTGTATCACTTTATAAATAATTTTCATTAACTAACGCTTTACAATAAAACGAAAATATTTTATTAAAAAGCAGTCGCTGTATGTGCATGTGGGTAACTAAAAAGAAGTTTTAATTTTTGTATTTTTTTTTAAATACAAACTAACATTATCTACATTTTTAAAAATAATACTAAACTTTATAAAAAAACTTTATTAATAAGCGAATGATTTTCTGTACATCTGATTTTGCAGATTTTTGTGGGGAGGGGAACTAATATTACTCACAAGAGTAAGTTTTTATGTATTTTTCTACTTTATTTTTAACTCATT